GAAATTTGGATAAGCGTATTTTTTTTTATCATAGTAGCCAATTCACTTCCGCATTATGGAAAACGAGACTTGAAGCTGAGAGTATAAAAGTTTTATATAGTTCCACACATTAGAGATCCTCAGTCAAATCCTACTGTACGAGTGATGCGAGAGTTGAGTCGATTATTTAGAACTTTGTGTGGAAAAGCACATAAAATGGGTTAATTTTGTACCAAAAATTGAAGAAAAATATTAAACGTAACAATTGATCAAAGTACGGAAATAGTCCCTTATGAATTGCAATATGGCAAGTCTGTTCATGATGAAATCCAAAAGATCGTCCAATTTTTAATAGTAAGAAACCTTCGCATAAATACCTAATCACATTGTCTAAAGAAAATTTAAGAAAGAATTTAAATATCGAAAGAAATAAAAACAAAGAGGTAAATCAAAGGTCGAATTATTAATCGGAAACTTAGTCCTTGTAAGAATAAAACATCTCTCAAATGCTTTGGATGGCTGTCAAAAAGTTTTTATTTGAAGGCCCCTATAAAATAATTCGATGTGTAGGTGAGAACGCATTTGCATTAGTTGATTCTTAAAATGAACAAATAGAAAAAGACATATAATTGTTGTTTGAAACGCATAATAGAAAACTACATGTGTAATAAAATATTATTTTTATAGAAGAATATTCTAGAATATTCGCTTCCGATCGCAAGTCAACAGGCATATCGTTTTTATATGTTTTTTTCTGGAAAACATATCGCGACACAAATTATCCTGTCGTACAAAAACACGCTCGAAATATAAACAATTAACGGTGTCGCAACCGTTCCGCCGAATAATTATATTTTATTGAGCATGCGCGGCTTCTCACGGGCGCCTCGTTTCGCCAATAATCATCGTGATCGCCAGCTCGCGCATGCTTTCTAACAGCCGTCGTTCTGTCAATTTTGACAGCGGCCAATTACGCGTAATACGCTCAGGTCACCTCGCGCAACTTTAAAAGGACGCAAAATTATTGGCGCTCACACGAAGGTGGGTTCCGCTCCGGAAATTATAAAAGAGGAGCTCACACCCCGCTTGAGGGCTTTATCGCTTTTCCGTCGTGAAAACATATCGCAACCGCTTATCAGATACACCGCAAAATTCGTTGTCGACCGCCGCTATTCCGCACTTTGATTTTGATTCCGACTTCACTGTAAAATAATTAAAGTTTTGTAATAAGTTTGTTATAGTGTTTTGTCAATACGTGTGTGATATTATTAAAGTCCTTGTTTTACAAAAAACTGACTCAGCCTTTGTGCAGCGCGATCCCTTGCTCACGCAGCGCGTTCGTGAACATATTTTTGGTCCTTCGAGCCGGATACGTCGCACCGGCAACCGCAAGTTCGCGAGCGTGACTTCTCGCGTGAGTGACAATAGTGCAGTTTCGTGTGCAGTCATCATGGATGTACCCACGCTGGTTGACTGTCAGCGTGAGCTTCAAGTCCGCATCTCACGTTCTGTGGAGTACTTGAAGAAGCTGGGCAGCTCCAATATCACCGCCAGTGCTATCTCCACACGCACCAGAATTCTGGATCAGCTGTGGACAAAGTTCGAGGCGCAGCATGACCTTATCCGTGCGGCCTTGAAGGAAAAGTTCAGTGAGAGCGAGTACTTTAAATCAGAGTTGCATGCTGATACGGAGAATCTCTACGTGTCACAAAGAAGCATACTAGACAGCTACGCTGAACACTATCGTGCAGCAAACGTACCTCCTTCTGCCGACGCCACGTCAAGGTCATCACTGCCGCGTATCAAAGTGCCGCCATTTTCTGGTGCCTACGCCGATTGGCCGTCGTTCCGAGATCTCTTTCTCTCCGTCGTGAGTGGCAATGCGATCTCCAACATCGAGCGCTTTCACCACCTGCGCTCATGTCTGACGGGGCAAGCTGAAAGGTTAATAAGGTCATTGCCTGTCACCAGCGACAATTACGATCGCGATTCTGGACAAACACTACAACAAAAAGGAATTGATCCGCTCCAACTTCGCCACGTTCATCGCCGTGCCGAAGATGAAGGGAGATACCGCAGAAGAATTGAGACGCATTCACAACGCCGTTACTGCCGCCGTCAATGGCCAGGAGAGCATCGGACGTCCAATCAACACCCACGGAATGGACCTCTTCAACTTCCTGGTCACCGAGCTGTTTGATGCACGCACACGTCTTGAGTGGGAGTCGTCCACGTCAGACTCATCAGAGCCGGCACAAAACGAGGCACTTGTGGACTTCATCAGCCGCCGGATCCTGACGCTCAATGCCGCACGACCGAAGAGCGCCAGCAAACCGCCCGGAGATGCTCCACGGGTAGCCAAGGCACACGTCACGAAGCACCAAGGAACCGAGTCGCCGCACTGTGCACTGTGTCGCGAGAAGCACACCTTGATGACCTGCCGAGATTTCAAGGCCAAGACTGTCAACGACCGCAAGGCATTTGTCGAGAGTAACAGGCTCTGTTACAATTGCTTAGGCAACCATTTTCTCTCTCGCTGCCAGTCAAAGAAGAACTGTCTGACATGCGACGCACGACACCACACGATGTTACACGGAGCACCCACATCGTCAGCGTCAACTGAAGCCACACGCGCCACCACACTGACCGCTACGCTGCAAAATCCAGAGTGCAAGGCCGTTCTTCTTGCAACAGCACGAATAAACGTCGCCGATCGGTACGGATCACCACAAGCCGTACGCGCTTTGATCGACCAATGTTCTGAGGTGTCGATCATTTCGGAGACCTTGGCACAACGTCTTCGCCTTCCTCGAGTCTCAACGGGCCTCTCCATTTTCGGCATCGGAGGGACTCGCTCGGGATCCGCTCGTGGCAAGGTCACGCTGCACGTAACGTCAGACGTGACCAACGCCAAACTCAGCGTGGTGGCCTTTGTGCTGCCCCGCATATCGCTGCAGCAAGGCTCGGTCTCGCGGGAAGAACGCAGCTGGCCTCATCTCAACGGACTCCAACTGGCCGATCCTCGCTTCTTAGACGACGACCCAGCTGAGCTGCTACTGGGAGCCGAGGTCTATTCCTTGATCCTCGAGGAAGGCCTCCGCAAGGGTGAATCAAGGATGCCGATCGCTCAGCAAACCAGCCTGGGATGGATCCTTTCTGGCGGCTACGACGCAGCAGCAGTCACGGGACATCGCCGCACCTTCCGGTGCACCGCCGATCATGACCTCGCCGACTTCGTTCGACGCTTCTGGGAGCAGGAGAGCGAGCCGATAACTCGGGCTTCACTCACTCCCGACGAGACCACGTGCGAGGAACTCTACGTGCGCACCGTCACGCGCACGCCCACCGGGAGATACATGGTGAGGCTGCCCTTCTCATCGCCGCCGACGACTCTTCAGGATACTCGCCGCCCAGCGGAGCACCTACTGAAAGCCATGGAGACCAAGGGCAGCCGAGATCTTCGATTTGGCGACCTCTATCACGGCTTCATGCAGGAATACGAGGACCTGCAACACATGAAGAAGGTAAATACCTCAACAACAACGGAGAATTTCAGATGCTACTTACCGCATCACGGGGTCCTGAAGGAATCGAGCACGACGACAAAGCTCCGAGTCGTGTTCAACGGCTCTCAGCGCACACGGGCCGGTACTTCGCTCAACTCGCAGCTGCTGACTGGGGCAAACCTTCTGCCAGCGCTCACCGACGTGTTGCTGCGATGGCGTTGGCACCGGTACGTCTTCGTCACCGACATCGAGAAGATGTACCGCCAAATCCTCGTACATCCTGAGGACTGCCGTCTCCAAACAATCTTGTGGCGTCACAACAAGACGGACGAGATCGGAGAGTACGAGCTGCAGACGGTGACCTACGGCATGGCGTGTGCACCGTTCCTGGCCATCCGAACTCTGCAACAACTTTGTGCGGACGAGGGAGCGCAGTTTCCTCAAGGTGCCACAGTACTTCGGCTTGATTGCTACGTCGACGACGTGGTCACCGGCGCGGACAACCTCGACGATGCCGTCAACCTCCAGACGGAGCTGCGCAACCTCTGCATGGCGGGCGGATTTACACTGAGGAAGTGGGCCTCGAACCATCCAGAAGTCCTCACAGGAGTCCCACAGGAGCATCGGCTGCAGCAAGGACCACATTCCTGGGAAGGAGAGAGCCATTCGACATTGGGCCTGCGATGGCGTCCTCAAGATGACCGGTTTGCCTTCGCAATACATCCTCGGCCAGTCAGCACATTCACGAAGCGACGAGTCCTCGCCGAAACTGCACGCCTATTCGACCCGATGGGCTGGCTCGCGCCTGTCGTCATTCGGGCGAAGATCCTAATCCAAAGCACCTGGCTTCAGCAACTTGATTGGGACGCTCCACTGCCGGCCAAGGATGCTCGACATTGGCAACAGCTGTTGGATCAGTTGCCGCTGCTCAGGCACATACGCGTGAATCGCTGGCTCAGCACCGACAACGATCACTCGAGGTTGCAGCTCCACGGTTTTGCTGATGCTTCCGAACGAGGATACGCCGCAGTAGTCTACCTCCGCACCACTGAAAGGGGAAAACCATCAATTAATCTACTCATGGCGAAATCCAAGGTCGCACCCGTCAAGCAGGTTTCGTTGCCGCGACTTGAGTTGTGCGCTGCTAGCCTACTCACCACGCTCACGCTGCATGTCCGCGACATTCTCGGCTTGGCAACTACTCCAGTATATCTGTGGTCCGATTCCCAGGTCACGCTTCATTGGATCCAGGGACACGCCACTCGCTGGAAAACTTTCGTCGCCAACCGGGTAGCTCATATCCAGACACAGCTCCCGGACGCTCGATGGAGACACGTAGCCGGGAAGAATAATCCTGCAGACTGCGCATCGAGAGGAATTACTCCTGGAGAATTAATCAACCACGCATTATGGTGGACTGGACCTACCTGGTTGGCACTGGACGAGACAGCATGGCCCAGCTCAGAGGTCCACATCGCAGAGGATGACCTTCCTGAACAGCGCACCACCAGCCTGATGACCAAGGGCTCCGTCGTCGTCGAACCGGACATCCTTCTTCGGTTCTCTGCGCTTCATCGGCTGCTACGCGTTACGGCTTGGTGTCGTCGATGGCTCAACGTGGCGAGCCGGGAGGTCACACCTGGTTGTCCACTACACCCCGACGAGCTGGACGCCGCCCTACTCCAGTGGCTTCGAGTAGTACAGGCGCTCCACTTCCCGGACGAGATAGCTGCTGCCACCGCAGGACGCTCCGGCCCACCACGCAGTTCACTGATCAAGCTGAATCCGTTCATCGACGACCAAGGTGTACTGCGCGTTGGAGGACGTCTCAAACACGCACTGCTGCCCTACGACGAGAAGCACCCGGTGATCATACCGCCGGCCTCCTGGATGACGCGACTGCTGATCGAGTCCTGCCATCGTCGCTCTCTGCACGGCGGCGTCCAGATGACACTCGGTCTGCTTCGCCTTCGATTCTGGGTACCACGCGGAAGGACCGTCGTCAAGCAGCAACTGCATCGGTGCGTCACTTGCACTCGCTGGCGCGCTGCCACGCCACAGCCTCCAATGGGCCACCTTCCTCGGGACCGAGTGACGCCAACTCGACCTTTCTTGAGCACTGGACTGGACTACGCGGGACCAATTTCCATCCGGACCAGCAAAGGACGCGGACACCGCTCACAGAAAGGATACATCGCGGTCTTCGTCTGCTTTTGGTCGAAGGCCATCCACCTCGAGGTCGTCTCGGATTACAGTTTCGAGGCCTTCATCGCCGCCTTACGCCGCTTCGTCTCTCGCAGAGGACTGTGTACGGACGTCTACAGCGACTGCGGCACAACATTCGTTGGCGCCGATCGCACCCTGCGGGAGCTCTTCAAGGCGTCGACCTCCGAGGGCCTTCACATCGCCCGCGCCGCCAACACTCAAGGGATCCGCTGGCATTTTAATCCGCCAGCGGCCCCTCACTTCGGTGGTCTTTGGGAGGCTGCCGTGAAATCCACGAAATTTCACCTCCGCCGAGTAATCGGCGACACCACGCTCACTTTTGAGGAGCTTAGCACACTCCTCACACAAATCGAGGCGTGTCTTAATTCTCGTCCGTTGCAGGCTCTGTCAGACGATCCAGACGACACTTCAGCACTCACTCCAGGGCACTTCATCATCGGCGCGCCTCTATTAGCTATACCTGAGCCGTCACGGATCGGACAATCATCATCCACGCTGTCACGCTGGCATCACCTGCAGCTGATGCGAGACCATTTTTGGCAGCGGTGGTCGGCTGAGTACGTGCACGGGCTCAACCCCCGCACCAAATGGGTCAAGGCCGAGGCCGCACCTCACGTCGGGGACCTTTGCATCATCCGCTCGGAGCTCACCCCTCCGACTCGATGGCCTCTTGCAAGGATCACGAGACTGCATCCCGGGGACGACGGTGTCGTCCGCGTGGTCTCAGTACGCACCGCCACGTCCGAATTCGTACGCCCGATCGTTAAATTGGTCATGCTCCCGGGCGCGGATCGTATTCCGGACACGAATAACGCGGGCACGCCGTCCGCCGGCACGTAACACATCACTCATCAACGTTCGACACTCATTCACGAGATTTATCACATCATGCACTGTATCATTTGTCACACCTCATTCTCATCATGCACCACCGCACTTGCAATTGTTCCATAATCACCACACTGCACTACACGTTCGTCATTTCACATCAAACACACACTCGTTACTGTCTCAGCTGATCATCACATTCCACGCGATCACCACGTGTTTCCGCGGCTCAGCTGATCGATTCAAATTACACGCGATCATCACGTGAATCTCGCCGCGCCGGCGCGCCTGCCCCACCATCGATCACTATCGACTTGCGATTCCGCGACCGAAATACCACAACATGTTGTCACTGCGCGACAAGGCGGGCGGGAATGTTTGAAACGCATAATAGAAAACTACATGTGTAATAAAATATTATCATATCCTTATCGAACTTAGACCAGTGGGTGCTGGGACTGTCCTTAGTCGAGGACAGAGTCCGCATTGGTCGACGTCCTTGATCGAACTTAGACCAATGGGTGCTGGGACTGTCCTTAGTTGAGGACAGAGTCCGCATTGGTCAACGTCCTTGATTGAACTTAGACCAATGGATGCTGGGACTGTCCTTGATCGAGGACAGAGTCCGCATTAGTCGACGTTCTTGATCGAACTTAGACCAGTGGGTGTTGGGACTGTCCTTATCGAGGACAGAGTCCACATTGGTCGACGTCCTTGATCGAACTTAGACCAGTGGGTGCTGGGACTGTTCTTGGTCGAGGACAGAGTTCGCATTGGTTGACATCCTTGATCGAACTTAGACCAGTGGGTGCTGGGACTGTCCTTGGTCGAGAACAGAGTCCGCATTAGTCGACGTCCTTGATCAAACTTAGATCAGTAGGTGCTATCTCCTTTTAAGAATGGAGTCCGCACTAGCTTAAATCTTCCAGAGAATATCTTTTGGTGTCTCCAGATGAGCATGCTTGTAAAATAAAGAGATGATTAAACTATAAGTCTGGAAGATAAACACGTTATAATAAAGTAAAAGATAGTTTAATTACTTAAATATTAATATTGTCATACAACTCTGAAATTCAAATCACTTGTCAATACTTAAAGTGTTTATGTTCATTAAATCGCTACTAACATTTTCTTTTATTTTTTTACGAATGCATTTTTCTTTTTACGAAATTTTCGTGATTGAAATCCAGAGATTGTACAAAATTGACTAGTTGTATATAATTATTTTTTATAGAGAATTAGTTATGCAATGGATTTTACAAAAAACAAATTCATGCTAATAATACATAAATGTGCAATTAGCTTATGTTTAATTTTGTTTGCTTAAAATGTATGTTTTTTAAGACTACACTAAGCGCTTTGATTTAACATCTTGGTTTTAAGGCTCCTGTATACTCGTCGCAGCCACGTCAGAGCCACGTGTTGACGTCAGAGGCGAGAAATTTCTTGCGGAATATTTTTAAATAAAAAGATTTCGATAAAACAACACTACAAATCTCTTTGTACACTTGTAAAATATACCGAAGACTAACCTTCTCTCTTGATAGTCAATCAGCACCTGTAAAATAATTGAAACATCAGACTTTGTCATGTAGAATGATTGCACATGTGCAAAGACCAGATGGACTGGATCTGATATTACAGTCATTTTACAGCTGTTGATTGATTATAATGGGAAAAAGCTAGTTTTCGATATATTTTACAAGTGTGCCAAAGACGTTTGTAGTGTTATTTTATTGAAATATCTTTTTATTTAAAAATGTTTCGCAAGAATTTTCATCGTGTTTTTTCGCCTCTGCATGATGTCACGATTCCGACATAATCGGCGAGTATCCAGGAGTCTCAACTTTCAAATTTATATAATATAATATATTAATATATGTGTAATTTTAAGTAATTATAATAATTTTAATAATTTTAATTTTTAAAGTAATTATAAGTATTCAAATTAAATAGGTATTTAAGTAGATAGTTTTACAAAAAATGTACGCAAAGATTATATGTAGACGACACAGATGTATGCTAAGTTTTACTGCAATTTTTTACATCAGTTTTTTCTGCGAATTGTATTTCGAGAATAGCGACCAGTATAGTCGCAGTCTTAACATCTACTGTATTTTTGTTCCATAATTTTTTTTCATAAATTGTATTTGTATTTCTTATAATCAATATTTGCATTTGTATCAACATACGTATTTTTTCGAATTATGTATTGTGAATAACAGTTAATATTTACATTAAGTGTTTAGAATGTTCTTTAATGCATTTCAGCATTCTTTGATTGCATAACAGCAACTAACCATTTTTGAGATCTAACGAATAAAAAATCTATATTCTAAAAAATTCTCACAATGTTGTTTTTTATTGTTGGTCTAATAAAACTCATTAACATCACACAAATGTACATTATGTACATATTAGAACAGTAATTCTAATATTGTACATTTTTGTGTGTGTGTACATTATGTATATACACAAATGTATAATATTAGAATTACTATACTACAATACTTTCTGTGTTGTTTTTCTCTGTCGATCTTGTTTCAAAGAATATATTTTAAATATTTTAAATATCAGTTTCTATGTGTGACTATGACAATGCTTTACTGTTCTTGTTTACTCTAATTAAAATAGGTATTTTTTAGTTTTTCGTGTGTTTGCATTATAATTTCATAGATTTTCTATAATTTGATAGTAACTTTGTTAAGTGTTTAAAATTTTTTTATAAAGCGTTATTTCAACTTTATTATACATAATATGTACACAATAATCAAATTTTATTCTAATGAGTACTATGTATGTAGCTTTTATTATATTACTATATATAAAATTATATATAAACGAATTATTAGTTTATATATGAAACCATTTACATATTTATAGATTTATAGATATTAACAGTTACATAAACTAACAATATATATATATAAAATTATAAATAAAAATATAGCTAAAATTACATACGTATATATATATATATATTTATCATCAAAATATAGCTAAAATTACATACGTATATATATATATATTTATCATAAAATTTGATTATTGCACTCGTATTATAAACATAGAAATTGAAATAACGTTTAAAAAATACTTAACAAAATTAGAATGTAAAATTATGGAAAAACTATATAAATGATTATAAATTAATTATTAGTTTATATTTATAAAAATCAGAAATTATCATGATTAAGTTATATACATATACATATATATCTCTGTTTCTCCATTTCGCTTTCTCTTCCCCCCCCCCCTCATTCCATCTCTCTTTCTCTCTCTCTCTTTTATGTACACGCCGGATTATGATAGATTTCATAATAAATTAAGCAGTGTTAATGATAAACAACATGGTAAAGTTTAAATTAATCTGTAGGCAAGTTGCAAATGACAAATATTTTTCGGTGCGGTATATGTCGCGGCGCATTAGAGGCGAGCGAGGAGAGACGCGTCATATGATACCGCGCCGAAAAATATTATCACATTGATTTTTTGGCGATAGGAAAATGACGCAAAAATGATATATATATCTCTTATGTACATATAAAATCTGGTAATACTTTATTTTTAATTATTTATAAAATTACATTAATATTGGACAGTGTATTTATACATATAACTTTCTGGAGAAATAAATCTGTATCGCTATGATATTTGTAATAATTATATGTATATATATATATATAAAATATATTTAAAGATTTACATTATTAATTATTACAAATATAATTATCTTAGTGATACAAATTCATTTTTCTAGGAAGTCATATACACAGTTATGCACATATTTAAATACACAGTCCAATTTAATCGTAAGATTGATTAATTGACTAAAGAAGTATTATAAGATTTTTATCTTTTGATACAGATCGATATATTCATATGATACATATAATATAATTTACTGCATAAATATAATACAATATACTGCATAAATATAATACAATATATACATAAATATAATATACTGTATTTAAGTATGACGTGATAAAGCAGTGTCTTTCTAACACATTCATTGAATGTACAAATTTCTTAATTAATATTCTAACGCGTCATTGTGTTTTTTTAAAATACGAAACAAAAAAGTATTTGTTTAATGTCGTCAAAATAAGAGTCAATTTAAACCAGTTTAAGTCATTTAGTTATTTTTTATAAAAAAATCAATCATATTTTATCATATTTTATCATATGTCGAATATTTTAGTTTCTTATTTGACATATTTTTTTATTGTCGTCAAAATCGCCAAAAAATAAATATAGTGTCGTCAAAGTATACAATGTCATCAAATTAGTCAATCCTCTGTTTCGGGTTAGTTTGACGACGTCGCCAAAGTATACGATTTATTGATAAAATTGTGACGACCGTCGTCAAAATAGCCAGAAGTCGTCAAAGTGTCCAATCTGTACCGAAAATCGTCGTCAAAATATACGATTGACATATATAATATAATATATTAAATATATATATATATATATATTGTATATATATAATTTAATATATTAAATTATATATATACAGGGTGTCTGTCCATAGATGTCTGAGCAAATATCTCGCAATTGGTTGAAGTTACAAGAAAGTTTAATAAGAAGAATTTGCACGGCTCTAAGTCAGCTACAAAGTGCGCGTAATAATTTTTGTTCTACTCGTGGTCCTTTCGAGTTATGCAGATTAACATAGTTTTTTTAAATGGATACCTATAATTTTTTATGCATATTTGTATAGTAGGGATCATTTGCGACAAAAATCATATGTAGTAAAAAATTCCTACTATGCATCGTTTACGAGATAATTGACATTTTATGTATGAAAGTAGTAAGTTGGATTCTAAGTATTTTTGAACGGTTTGAAATGTCAAAGAGAGTTCGGAGAAGAAAACATACAATGTTTGTTTATAGAACATTTATTAACACATAAATTGCTCGAAATTTTGACCATCATGTTCAATACAATATTCAACGCGTTACGACACAAAATCACTAGAGCTGTTAAAGGCATTACAGCAGAAATGCTG